ACTGTTGTACTCTGCAGTGCATTGGAATTTATAATTTGATCATATTATTCTCAGTGTATAAGTTTTAATCTGAAAAGTAGCTCCAGCTGTAGCAAAACAGACTTACAATAGTTCGAATACAGTGGGGTGGAACAGTGTAATTAGTAAATGTACTTAGTTACTTTCCTCCACTGGGTACTGCTACTGTAGGGGTTGTGCAGCCAGACTGAGGACTAAAACTAATTGGCAAAAGGTGCAGCAGCCTGCAGAGGGCAATGAGCAATGAGCTGCTAAAAGCTATAGAACACTGATTAGGAAGTGTGTGTCTCATCATTTCATTTCATCAGAGCAAATTGTGATAGAGTTGGGGAATGTATTGTAAAATTAATAAGGCACAATACTATATGACCTTTTAAAAAGCAGGAAAAGGTTATCTGTGAAAGACAAGTGGCTGTTTACATCTTAACTTCCAGCAACTCTCTACTATCTGCCTTGACCGTGACAAATGTTACCCTGCGCTGCCCTCTTCTGGTGACTACAACCAAGCCCAAGTACTATGCGTACAGAATATGATGAGAATTATATGTCAGTAAAAAGCCGTAATAACAAAATATTTTCTGTTTCAAGTGCACACCGGCTGGTTCTCTTGGCTTAGCCTCTAAGTTAGTGATTGTGCTACAAAGTGACTTTGCTTTCACCTTTAAAACTACCTGGCACTAACAGTCATCTGCCTCCTCTCCATGCTGCAATTTAAACATTTCTTCCTCCAGCCCAACAGCTGCGGCCAGACATTCCCACCTCTCCCCAGCATGACTCACCATGTCCTGCTTACACACGTGTGGCAGTAAGAGAGAGAGAGAGACGTACATAAACACCCACATGCAGGCACACACTCACCGGTTATAGAAGGTGACATTCACCAGGCCATCCGCCAAATCGTCAAGCAAGCCAGGGTGGTCATGGCCGACCGCAGAAGGGTGCAATTAACTTTGGGAGCCTCCTGACAGCTCTACCACTATATGTGTATATTTTCATGAGTAAAAAAGTGTAATAGTGCTGTATAATTAAAACCCCACGTCACCAGTGTCTGGTTTTATTAGCTTGATCAACAGCTAAGAGTTTCATGGATTTCATGTTTTTCATGTATTCAGGCAGGCATATAGATGCATAAATGTGCTTGTGTAACAGAGAGAGAGCGATGCAGTCAGTTTCTTGTGTGTCTCATTACAACTCAGGTTTGCTGTCATCTGGTCGGATAGGCAGGCGTCCCTTCCAATGTCACAGACTCTCTGAGGCTCGGAGCTGACAGGAGGAGCCCAGACTTCATTAGCAGGTCAATTAACATTTCCCAGACAACATCTGGAGGACACACTGCCCACCCAGCTGCTATTACACACCTCTTAATGTCCCTTCCCCTCAGAATAGCATCAAAAACTATGTAACTGCAGTCTAATGACTCCATATTCGACTCATACTGAATGCTGAACTGCATTAAGGCGTGTAATTGAATACTGACTGGCAAAGCACCCAGGAGCAACTTAAAACAACTGTCAGACGTGTTGGCTTTGGGCTCTAGAGAAATTCTATATCAATCAGTTGTCCGTTTTACATATTTGTGTATTATTTACTATTTTACCCCCTGCTTTGTGTTCAGACCTCATCATCTTTTCCCTCTGTTTCTTTTGGCCTCTCTTCAATACCTTATCTGTCTCTCATGGCCCTCTTGCAGTACTACTTGGAAACTCATCTTTACAAGATTGATCTGAGCCAAACAGAGAGAAACAGCGGTGCTGCGAGTTGCTCAGTGTAGTGCTGCAGGCAGACAGGCATTTGCAAAATTGTGGGCACATAACACACAAACACGCACAGCGTGTTGACATTGATACATTCACAAGGGATCACAGAAATACGAGAGACGAAATGAGAAAAACAACTCTATGTATTCTCAGCTGACCCAGCCACAGCCAAAGGCGGCCTCCTCACATCACAATGGGGTACTCAGGTGGGGCTGTCTTTTTGTGACTTCTTGATGGAGTTTTTTTTCTCTTTTGTTTTATTTATTTATTTCTATAATCAAGGCAACAAAAATGTATCTGAGAAAGAGGCAAGGAAAATGGATTGACAGGAAACTTTAAAGCTAGGGGACAAATTAACAGATGTAAAAAATGCCCACCGGAAATGCTATTATGTATGTCTGGGTCCATCACAAGGCTGGTTGTTTGTGGCAAATAAGGATGTAAAAGCAGATTTTATAGGTCTATGCATAAACAATTTGTACAAGTAACCTGTCTTTCTAGGCTGTTGCCAGAACATATGCGTTATTGCCTTGGCTAGAAATAATTGTGGCTGACTGCTCACTGGTTCACTAATCAACGCATACTGTAGCTGATGGTGTTTGAAAATGTTGTAGAGATCCTTTCATCTGTAGTATGTCTCACTGTGTCCAACCAGGCAGAGAGGTTACCATTTCCACATTGACATTGTGGGGGTGGAGCTCTACTCAGCAGTGACAGCAGTGTCAGAGAGGAGGATGCTGTCCAAGCTACATGTCATCTTGAACAATGTCTCCCACCCACTCCACAATGAGCTGGTCAAATACAGGAGTACTTTTCAGTGCAAGACTCATTTCACAGAGATACACCACAGAGCGCCACAGGAACTCATTCTTGCCTGTGGCCATCAAACTCTTCAACTCCTCCCTCAGACTGTCAGACACTCATTAAGCTGGTGCCTGTAATGTTCTCTTGTTAATGTGCAATATTCTGGCCTATTATTCTGTCACTGATACTGCAGTCTTTTGAGGATATAAACATTATTATATAGTATCTTATATAGTATAGTATAGTATAGTATATATATATATATATATATACTTATTATTGACATTATCAGTAGCACTATTTCGTTATACTTCTGTATATATACTGTCATATACTGTAGCATACACTTCTATCTCTGTACATTGTATTAAAATGTACATACTTTTATTATGTTTGGGTGTTTTCCGTTTTATTTTTATTTTACATTTATATACCAATATATACATTTCTATTTTTATTTCTTGATATATTGTTAGATATTGTAATGTAATTATTATTTCTACTCTACAATGTCATGTGAGCACCTTGAGCAGCTGTAACAAACAAATTTCCTGGCATCAGCAATTACAGCATGATATAAATGACTAAAGGTGAGCGGTTAAAAAAACTTGAGCTCTATCTGGGCAGGAAGCAGACCAAAGTTGAGTACAGTTGACAGTGTAACACCTTTGTCACACTGTCAAAATGTGCCATAGGTAAATCTGTTGGCTGGTCACTGAAGTATATTTCCCCTCAAAAAACAAATGTTAACAGTTATTTTATAGTTTCATGTTAGTAGACTTTTAAGTTCAAATGGGAAGGTGTATGCTATATTATGTTTACTATATTAATTTGTCACCTACTTTGGACTCGCAGCCGTAATAGCTCAGTCTGCTTCTATAAAGCACAGGATGATTTCATCGATTATGGGAGACTTCTGTATTTCTTGAAGCATTTTGAAGCAGATGATTATTTTTTTAATGTTTTGTTGGCGATTCAAAAGCCTTTTTCATTAAAGACATTTTGACATGTCAGTCAGAAAAGCACAGGTGTAAATAATGATGGAATTCCATTTATAGCTGCTTCAGTTTCTGGGTCCTGGTACAGTGTTGCCTCACCTTCACTCTGGCATGGCTTACTGAGACACTTGCATAGATTGGAGCCACCGTTAATGTTATTAATAATGCCTGTGCTTCAAAATGTTGTTACGTCCTTTTTAGGGGGAAAAAAAGGTGACAGCCTGACACGCAAAGAAGTTGCAGAGTCAAAGATGTAGTGACATTTAAAAGTGATTTATTTACATATTTAATACTAACAAACATACAACAAGATAGAGAGAGAAAGAGAAGCAGGAAGAAAACACACAACAGAACCTGCTTGGCATGTAACTGTCTGCTGTGAAAAAGGCTGTTCAACAGTAGGTTAGTGTTTATTTCATGTAGTTTAGACAGGAATATCTGGAGAAGATACTTGTACTGAGATTGTACTGCCTTTGTTTGAAATACATGAAACACATTGTTGGTGTAAGCCATTTGACCTAAACCAAATTTCAGATCATGTCTATGAAAAGAGAGAATAAATTAATTACTTAGCCAAAGCTCGAGAAGGACCCAGTGTTTCTACAAGAATGAGAAACACTCTTTATCCCCTTGTTCCCATTCCAATAACTTTAATACCAAAACACAACACTGACCCGTATAAACCCGCAGTTTATGCCAGTTCCCTGTTTCCACTGGCTGAAACAGATCTTTTATTTACTAGCAATCAACCACATGGTTTTAAAAGGTTTTCAAGTGCTCCTTAGAATGATGTATTAGTTCCTAAAGGCAAATGCTCACCATAGTATATTCCCACTGAGTGGTGGAATGTAACTAAGTACATTTACTTCAGTAGCCTACTGTACTTAAGTAGTACAGAGTTTAGATACTTGTACTTTACTTGGGTATTTCTTCTCATCCCAATTTCTACTTGTACTTCCACTACATTTTAGAGGGAAATATTGTACTTTTTATTTCACTGCATTTATCTGACTGCTTCACATCACTGTTGATGTTTAATTTACAATTTGTGATTTTTTTACACACAAGACCTTATGAAATATGTTTTGTTAAAATTAAACTACTAAATGTTTACTCAGTGGATTATTAAATTAGTCGACTGACAGAAAATTAGTTAAATATAATTAATGAAATGTTTTGATATATTTCATGGTTCCACATCCACACACGGGGACGCATTGCGTACTTTTGATACGTTTAAGTACATTTCTATATTACACTTACATACTTTTACTTAGGTAACATTTCAATGTAAGACTTTTACAAATAGAGTATTTTTACAGTCTGGTCTAAGTACTTTTACTTTGACAGATCTTCTTCCACCATATGACCTGGACCAGCTCGGACTGATGGTTGAGATAGGATATTGCGTAACTTGAATGTTTTCCGACTGTGGGACTGCCTCTGTATTATCAACAGTAGAAAGGGATCAACTCACCACAGTCGACAGTGGTACGCACTGGAGGGAAGATGGGCCTTTTTCCGGACTTTTCCGTTGAGACCTGGACTTTAATTGCAATAGTCATCACTCTCATCGCAATGTAAGCATGCTGTCTTGTTTATCTCCTGTTGAGGTCTTTTTTCAAAACGCATAGAGGTTTACAAACAAAATGAACCAATGCCACAGTGAAGCGAAAACAATCAAATGCGCTCTTTAAATTTTGCGGAAGTCCGCTCTAGTGGAGGCTGTGAGTATTTTAACCCTAGTTTTGTATTTTAAGTGAATTCTGCTCAGTGGAAAAACTAGAATTGATGGATCAAATGGATCAGAATTTATTTTTTTTGGTACTACCTGTTTCTTCCAAAACAAACTCATCAACAGTCGTATGGGCCGTGACAACATGTAAAATATTCAGCTGTAGATGGAGCCAACGTGCACTGTACAACTCAGCTTTCCTGTAAAGGTTCATAGATAACAGGCTGTATGTGAGGCAATGTGCAAACCTGGAACAACCTAAATTACGCAATAAACAGCAATAACTCTATGACTATGACATCACTATGATTTCACTGGACTAAAAGTCTCTTGAGGTTTTGTATGTTCAGGCTATTAGTCAAAATAGGACACCTGTGTGGGTTTACTAAGGACGTGCAGGGCCCTTTGAATTAATAAAACCTTTATAAAACCTTCCCAAGCCAGACATTTTGACTGGTCAGGCACAGATGTAGCTAATAGCATAGTATGGGCTGCATTAAATTTTAATGGAACCTTTTCATAGCAGACATTTTGACATGTCATTTAAAAGTAATAAGTATGCAGTGCATTCAAATTATAGCCTAACATTAGGACCATTTCTGTGACATAACTTGACTCATAACAGATAATGCAGGCATTCAGTGAAATGACATAAGGGTTGTAAAATGTGTGTCATAAAATGGCCAGTTTGCTACCAGGCAGTTTTAGTATTTCAGTACTGTATTCTGATAACAGGATCCAGGAGATAATGTTCAGACTATACTGTTTAGATTAGATTAGAATAGATCCAACTTTACTGTCATTGCACAAAGTACTAGACAACAACAAAATGCAGTTAAGCATCTAACCAGAAGTGCAAAGCAGTAAAGTGTAGAGTAGAGTAATGTGCATATGTACAAGGATATATTCAAAATAAATAAAAATCATTATAGATATATGTATATGAATATACTAGCAGGATATATACAGTATGAACAGCATCAACAGAATGAACGGAGTAAAGTGAATACATTAAGATATATAAAGCTATTAATGTGAATGTTCATGTTGTTTGGTTAAGAAAATAAAAAGCACAAGCCAAAAACTGAGTTCAGATAATCATAATTCCCACCCATTAAAAATACTTTACAGTTTAAATAAAATAGATACAATTAAATGACAAATCATTTCTTTAATCAGACTTAATGCTGATTTTCCTTACACTTACGATAAAAACAGTAAGCAATATAAAAGAAGGGTACTGAAAATGACTGCTGTAATAACAGCTGGATTTGGTCTCAGTTTTCTAATGCTGTTTTTAATCCTCAGATATGGATATGCTCCATATGGCTTTTTCAAGAAAATAGGCATCCCTGGACCCAAACCTTTTCCCTTTATCGGGACATTTTTGGAGTACAAAAAGGTGAGACATGCCGGATTGGTACCATGAATTGAGCAGATACTTAGTTAATAATGGTTTTAAGCAGATACTTTGTTAATAATGGTTTGATACCATTGTTTCTTATTTTATTCCTTAGGGCATCCACAATTTTGACACGGAATGCTATCACAAATATGGAAAGATGTGGGGGTAAGTGTGTGTGCGTATACTGTTTGTCATTAAAAAAGATTTCTCATGTGATGCTCCAGACTGTAACTACAATGTCTGTTATTTGCATTACAAGGGTGTACGATGGCAGGCAGCCTTTGTTGGCCATAATGGACACAGCTATGATCAAAACGGTCTTGGTTAAGGAGTGTTACTCTGTCTTCACCAACAGACGAGTAAGGAAAAACACATAACACACATAATACCTCAACACTAATCAAAGAACACAATATAAAGAGGGCGTCTTCTGTGTGTATGTGTGGTTTTTAGGATATGGGCCTAAATGGACCATTACGTGATGCTGTATCAATAGTGGAAGATGAGCAGTGGAAGAGGATTCGCGGTATACTCTCTCCATCGTTCACCAGCGGACGACTGAAAGAGGTTGAAAGCAAACTGCAGCTTTATCATATTTTTAAGGGTCCACTATTCATTGGTCTATGATACCTGTATGTAACTATTTAATTATTTAATGGTTTTGTTGTTTACTTTTGGCGCAGATGTACACAATAATGTTGCATCACTCAAGTAACCTGATCAAGTGTCTTCACAAGAAAGTAGAGGCGGATGAAGTCATCGAGGTTAAAGAGTGAGTAATTATCTTGTTTGGGCACATCAGAATTATTCAGTTCTGGGTGTTATTTGGATTGTTTAACGTTTTTAGTGTTCCTACTTCTTATTCCAAAATGGATTGGAATGACATGTTTGCTTTTTTGCAGAGTGTTTGGACCTTACAGCATGGATGTTGTGACCAGCAGTGCCTTCAGCGTGGACATTGATTCCATCAACCAACCCTCTGATCCTTTTGTAGCGAACATTAAGAAAATGGTCAAGTTCAACTTCCTGAATCCCTTGCTTGTGTTTGTGGGTATGTCAGATATCATGCCGTAACCATGTCTGTCTTGTTCCTTTTGAGCCCTGAATAATTAATGTCTTTTCAATTCATTTCAGTTCTGTTTCCATTTGTGGGGCCAATTTTGGAGAAGATGAATATGTCATTCTTCCCTGCTAAAGTGCTGGATTTCTTCTACAACTTTCTAAGGACGATCAAATCAGACCGGAATAAGAATCAACACAATGTAATGTGTAGACAGTGTATAGCTACAATGGATTTGATGTTGGTTGTTAGTCTTTTTTTTTTTTACAATTTCTGTTCATAAACCTTTCCTTGAGCTCAAATTGTAAAAGTTAAAATAGGACTTCTACTTGTCTCACAGAACCGAGTGGACTTCATGCAGTTGATGGTGGACGCCCAGATTGCAGCAGCCAATGAAAAGGATGCGAACTCTGCGAAAGGTAGATAGAGGAACCAGATGGAGAATGATTCAAGTTCATGATTTCCTTTGTAGTCATGACTGAGGGGTCACTTTCAAAATGTCAAGGGTCACTTTCTTCCTCATATAAAAAGCAATGGCTTTTCATCACACTCAAGTTGAATGCTTTCATAATGTGTGTATTTCACACATTGGCTTACTTGTTGCCTGTTGAAGTCGAACAAAAAATTTGGTTAAAACGTCAGTCTATGGTGTGATTTCCTGTGTCTCAAAGCTCTGAACAACTGTTTAAAGTTGTTTACAAATGCTACATATTTATCCAGAAACTGATTTTTTCAAACTTCGACATTGTTTCCAGCATAGTCACCATCTATTACCATGAGTGCCATAACCGTGCAGTCAGATATTAGAAAGGTTCATGTTGACTGAATGAAGGACAGTCTGTTACTAGCTAATGCATGGTGACCCTTTCCAGACCACAAAGTTATGAACTTTTACTTTGACTATTATCATTAATAGTGTTAATCATGGTGTGTTTGTGTTGCAGGCCTGACTGATAATGAGATCCTTTCTCAAGCCATGATATTTATCTTTGCTGGCTATGAAACCAGTAGCAGCACACTGGGATTTATAACCTACTGCCTGGCAACCCACCCTGAAACCCAAAAGATCCTGCAACAGGAGATCGATGAAACCTTCCCAGAAAAGGTTACTTGAGTATTTTACTGTACATATTTTCTGTCATTATCAGCAACTGGTTCTATGTTACAAATTGATAACTCCTTTATACTTTACCTTCCTCCAGAGCCAACCAACCTATGATGCCCTGATGCAGATGGAATACCTGGACATGGTGGTGAATGAGTCAATGAGGCTGTATCCTGTTGCTACTCGGTTAGAGAGAATGACAAAGTCTTCTGTGGAGATTAATGGTGTGACCATCCCTAAAGGAACAGTAGTCATGGTACCAGTTTATACTCTCCATCGTGACCCTGATTTGTGGTCTGAGCCTGAGACCTTCAAACCTGAAAGGTACTCTACTGGATTGTTGGCAGGTTTAGGTCAGATGTAACTCAAACTTGTCACCATTTAAAATATTTGTTCATCTTTTTTTCAGATTCAGCAAAGAGAACAAAGACAACGTAGATCCTTATGCCTTCCTACCCTTTGGAGCAGGGCCAAGGAACTGCATTGGCATGCGATTCGCTGTCTTGATGATGAAGTTGGTCCTTGTGGAGATCCTTCAGAACTTCAGCTTTGTTACCTGCAAGGAGACAGATGTGAGAAGACATTTTCAGTATTAGTGTAATAGAGGCAGGTTTTTGTGTATAATTGGGCGTCAGTGGATTTGAGCTTTGGTAAGACTTCTTTGTGACACATTTCTTGTTTTTTCCTAGATTCCATTGGAGCTGGGAAATGATGGATTTACCTCACCCAAGAATCCCATTAAGCTGAGGTTGAAGCCCAGAACAACTGTTGCTGATTCTCCCTCAAGCTAACTCTGATTATCTGTAACCTGGCAGTTCTCACTTAAGCCTGCAAATCACTAATTTAGGCTGTCTCGAGTACTTCTTCTAAAAAAATTATATAGTAATGATTAGATAGTATATTCTTCTAAAATAAGGTTGTCTAATATTAAACATGCATAAAGTCACCACTCACTGATTTATACTGTAACACATATCGTATCGTTGTATATATAGTCTAGGCTTCAATTATAGAATGGAAGTTACTTTTATTTTTCAAGCATCAGATATTAGCTGGAGCATCCAGGGGCGTGTGTTGTGTGTTGGGGCTAGGTCCTTTCCACAGCGGCCTTCACTCTCTTTCCCCTCTCTTTCTACTGTCCTCTCAAAGTAAAAGCAAAATGTCAAAAGAAAGCATCATTAAAGGACACACATAGCAAAACATCTTGCAAGACTTGCATACTTTCAATAAGGAATTCAATAACAATTTACAATTGCAACAAGAAAAACTGTAGTCCAGCCAACAGCTTGGCTGGTGTCTGTTGGCATTGTGATTTACTAACAGAATACGAATATATGAAAGCACAATTACTGTTCTGAATGCCTCGCCACACATGCCAGAGAATTGCAACATGTTACCACTATGTGCACACATGTCAAACTTTTCCATGGAATGAGTGTCCTCTGGTTGGCTGTGCTCTTTGCTCTTAATTTCACAAGTTAGAGAGAGTGGCGTTGAGAGCTTGTCACAAATTGTCACTGCATTAATACACAACACATTTCATTCATGGCATCACAGACATTACTGATATACTGACAATCATATCTCATTTGTGACTGTGTTTTTCATATGTATAATAAAAATGCTCATAAGTTCTCACATTTGATTTGGTCATTGTGTTGTGGTGGTGCTTTGTCATGCTTTTGAGACAGGTTGCCAACCGTCATGTAATGGCAGTCATTCCATTTACTTATGTCTTGGAAGGTATTTCCATTATATGCTTACCCTAGCTCCAGTGATTACTTGACAGCTCTAGGTAGTACAACATTGCAAAATATGATTTTCATTCAAAAAATAAAATCCCTGTTTAATGTATGTTGAAGTGTTAAAGATTAAATGACCCACCAGTAGTTCAAAAAAATTACCAGCTACAACATTTAAATTCAATGAGGTTGCACATTAATGCATACGTAATAAAAATAAATTAATTTGTAATAACTCAATAATTAATTGAAACACTCACAGGGGCATTTTTTCTGCATAAATTACATTTACAGGATAATACTTTTACTCAAGTCAGATTTTAAAGGCAGTATTTACAGTGTGTTTTTTTTACATTGTTGTATTGCTAATTTTAGTTAAATACAGGATCTGGATACTTAAGAGTATTGCCATTTGTGCCATCATGTTACATCAGCTGTGCTGGAAAAATACACCAACTCAGTGCAACACAGAAACAAGCATGCTCTCACATGATGATGACGTGTAAATGAATGAACCACCAGCAGAGGCACATGCCACATAAAACCTGTTTTGCGTCCATAAGTGATTTTTGTTACGGTAACTGCAGTGCTTTACATCACAACATGAAATCAGGGAATATGAGACTACACCTTGACTAAAATGTGCCCTCACCGGGGCCTCACATGTCCTGGATTTACAGTACATTTCACTATGCAAGGAGAGTTAACAAAGGTGTACAGAGGGCAGAAAGATTGCAGAAAGGGTGGAGTGTGTGAACACTGTTGTTTTTGTCTTTGAGCCGCAGTGACTGTGCACAATTTGGAGCAGATCCCTTAACAAAAACAACTCGTCTATCAGGTTTCTGTTCCTATTTTTCAGTAAGACAGCGTCTGTAAAAGGGTAGTAGAGAAACAAAGGAGAGGTAAAGAACTCCTATCCCCTTTCTATTCCTTTTCACTTAATAACTGGTCTACTTTTAAATGTTAGGATGTTGCTTCAAGAGGCTAAATCACACAATGAACTATAATCATATTGTGTGACAAAAGCAGCACTTCCTACTTCAACATTTTAAATCATGATCTTCAATATGTCCATTTGCGTGTCACTGTCACACTGACTCCACTAAACAAACAAAATTAATTATACACTAATCACTAAACCCTACCTTCATTTATGACTACATCACATAAAGTGCCATTATTGCAGCCCACGAGGTGGACTAATTACATTGATCCCAGAGCTGTAAAGAGAGATGAGATAATAGTTGGATTACAAATAGTGGAAGGCATGTTGAAACCTTGTATCACCCTCAGCATGCTCACACCAGAGAGGTCAAACACAGTGTTGCGATACTGTCATTTGGCCATTAAGGGGAGTTGTCACACCGTGTTAGACGATGCAAACCACCTTCCCCACGAGGCGTCACTTGTAATGGGATATTTTCAGATATAACCAGCTCTATGACTTTTCAAAGTAGGTTTAGGGTTTGTCTGTGCAGGAGCATCATTTGATTGATCATTATTTAAACGCATTTATATTTGGCTATATAGTGGCTTCTAGATTACAAAAATCCACAGTTGTAGTGCAATCGCACGCTTACAACAGAGAAACTACCCATCATAAATAGTAAATATGAGCTCGTAGTGTGCCATCATTAGGCCAAATCAACAAACACTTAAAATAAAATTTACACTGAGACTCAGGAGCGGGCAGAAATTAACCCTGGACGTCCGAAACAAAGAGGTTTATCCCACAGATCCAAGAACGCCCTTGTCGCCGCCCCCTAGCGAAAAGGCCGCCAGCTATTGGTCAGTTTGTTGCACTACGCCCCTTTGATTGGCTGGCGGCCTCGTCGTTGAACGTCTGTTGTTCGCCCTCGCCTCAGAGGGAGAGCGCCTATGACAGTGTGCTGCTTTGATTCATGCTGCTGGGGAGCCTCATTTGGGGATTTGGAAAACAATTAATAGGGCCAGAACAGAGCGCATGAAGGTATGTTTACCCGCGGAGGGTTGTGGAAATATATTTGCTGCTGCCTTTCAGAAATTCTATTTTCAATTTGGTCGTTTTTTTTAAATATGAAAGCAAAATGCCATAGTCCATAGACAGGTCTCTCTGAGTCAGTCTTGTATTTGCTCGTATTGTATTGGGTTTTTGTGTTTCTGGTTTAAGTGAAACTTTACAGCAAAATATGTATTACTTTATGCTTAATAATAATGCCAGAATAGTATTTAGATAATTTGTATTTTAGAGTATCCTACAATCGCTGAGATCCATGGGTCTTATGAGTTCATTTTCAGGCTAATGGGTGTGTGTACTCCAGTGATATTGATGCAGTATTGATTTTACCATTATCACTCCAGGCAATCTATATAGATAATTGCTAATATGGTGGTTTTTTTGCGATGCTTGTGACACTCAGCAATTGAACTGAATGTTGCCAACACGGAAAATAATGACAGTCCCTTGTGTCAGACAAAGGCCCAGGACGGCAGGTGGATCAGTCTGCTGTTCCTCAGCAACCACTGCCATCATTTATTGCCTTGGACACACTGAGCAGTCTGTTGTTGTTGCACGTTGAGCACTGGAGCACATATCCTTCCTTGTGTCTCAGCCAAGATGAGTAAAGGTTAACTCAGACTGTGTTTGCTACCTGAAAGCAATGACTGTATAGAGATAATAAAAAAAAACAAGTGAACTGTGTCTGAATGCACACTAGCAGACATCTCTCACATAAGAACAGGGGGTGCATAGAGCCATACCAGTGTTGATATCATTGATCATCGCTTGCTGAGTTGCATGAATGTGCCATCTCATGACTGTTAGTATATTTACAGTGGCTGGTTATTAGTTCACCTACCAGTACTCACAAAGCCAAACTGCAACCCTGCCACTTGAAACCAGTGGGATTCTGGGATTTACTCTTGAGGGATGATTCCCATGGTGTGGGTATCCCTGGAATGCCAGAATGATTTTCCATGGAAGCTGAATTACAGATATCATATGACACATAGCAACAGCTATTACACACACTAGTATCTGGACTAAACTAACTAATATCAGTGTGTGTGTGTGTGTGTGTGTGTGTGTGTGTGTGTGTGTGTGTGGGTGGGTGGGGGCCTGGACTCAAAGCCGACCTCGCAATACAAGTCAATTCAGCGGCTGGTAAATAACTGCGGATTCACACGTTGTTGCTTTGCTTTTGAATGTGCGGTGAGCCACAGAATGCACAGAGGAATTTGGACGCTGCTGGAAAGTAAACAGTACATTTGAGATTCAACCTTCTCTGATTGTGAAGAGGAGAGGAGAGGTTTGTTTAAAGCCCAGATGAGGACGGTTGCTTTCACTTTGGGTACAGACGGGTGACAAATTTAAAGGAAGAACCAGGACAAATGAGAGGAAAACAGTAACGAACGCAGATGATTCCACACGTGAAGGGTCACTGAATAGGTTGATGAGCATGGAAAGGATAAGAAGAATTATATGCTGTGTCATCTCAAGTCAAGTCCTTTAGATTTTGGACCCATTTGATAGATCACCATCATCAAAACATTAGAGTCTTTTAGAAGTCCATAGCCTATAGAGGATAGAGGAACACTTAACTGGAGTTGCTCTGGCAGCCCAACAGCTTACTAAGACACTTAATACACATTTTTATTTTACACCCATCTGTACCTTATAAGTTATACAGCAAGAATGCATAGTTCATACTGTACAAACCCTTAAGGCGCCTTGCACTGAACTTTTGTTATTTGATGTTTATTTATTCATTGTATGTGTGAGAGAGAGAACGACGTGAGGTGTAAGAGATGATCATTATAGCTTCTGTTATCTGACTTCACAGCTTGTACGCACCTTGTCAAACACATGATTAACACTGTGAGGAACACCCACACAGCTATAAGGCACTGATAATAACCTGAAAGCAACTTCACCCCTACTTTAAAAAGATGAAGTCAACTGTGTTTTTGCGTTTCTCTTCATTTTAAGGATGATGTCAGCTGGGTGATGTGTGTTATGTCTGGACCCCATGACTAGGCTCGACCTAGCTGATGAATCACAGGATACAGTGGATGGAGTGTGGGATGGCTAGTACCTCGTGTGTGCCAAGATGTTCAAACGATCACATTTGCTTAACACTGTTGGTATTTGGTACCTTCGCGGTGGACAGTTGGGGACTGAATAGAGCAGACAACTGTCCTCAGTCCCTCAGCAACTTAACATGCAGATATGCTAATGACTTCCTGTTTATAACCCCCGAGCACAAGCAAGGCCGCAGATGGGACCCCAAGTCCCATCCTACATCAGCTCTGTGCCACTCACTGAACAAATGCACTCAGGCGAGCCACCATTAAGTGCTGTGTTACACATAAATGCATTTATATTACCCAGAAGCATTTTTATTTCTTAACTAGGTAGGTCATTCGGATTCCATCTTGTGTTCATTTTCTGGTACTTTTATGTAGTAAACACAACCAGTAAGAATATTTCCTCTGAATATTCTCTCTCACTCTCTCTGTCTCCTCAGGATGAGAAGATGAATGTGGAGGCTCTAAGCAGAGCAGAGCTGCTGACTCTCCTCAGTATTTTGGAGGGAGAGCTGGAGGCGCAGGATGTGGTTATACATGCCCTCAGGGTGAGTTGAACACTGACACACACACAGATCCCCATATGGACTCTGTCATACGCATTGCAGGACACCTTACTTAGATAGGAGCATACATTCATAATTACAACTGAAAAATAATATAGCGGCCCATTAGAAAAAACACGCTCTTTTGTTTGCCTTTTCTGAAGACAGACTTAGACACTGATACTAAGCTTTTTCAGCATTACACCCCCCAAAAATGTGAGCAAACAGGGAGGGGATGTGTAAACAGGAAACTAAGGAAACTGAGCTAGTAAAGACAATGGCACAGGAGTCATTCTGGTTTCCCAGACATTTCATTCCACCAGAGCTCCAACATTATTATTAGTCAGACCAGTTGGAATCTGTGTTTCTCATTTTCACATTTTTATCTCAATTCAGGCACTATTCAGACCTTTGTATGTTCAGATTGTGTCTACACCCAGTTCAGACTGCAGTTCATACCAGGTGTATCTCAAATGTGACCATTTGTGCTCACATTTGTTTTAATCTGGGAAATTCCCGCTGCTGCTAAAGAGAACCAAAATGTGCCATTTGGCCAAAGAAGAAGACTTTGGTGGCTATTTGGTAGCTTGCCTAGGGTGCATAGCTCACACCCTTGTAAAAGTTGTTTGGCTCTGGCAAATCAGCTGTATCCAAATGTGATTTTGAACACTAAGCAGAGACTACAAAGATGCAGTCTTTCAAGGCAGCTTAAATCCCCCAACTGCACATTATGAACAGCACCTCAGACATTACTCAACAACAACCATATCAAATTGTAGAAATCTAATGTTTGAAGATTATGTCTTACACAGTTGTTCCTTAAACCTTTAGTTTTGTACAGCCCATTCACTCACATTCAACTCAAAGAGCCTAGCTTTCCTTTGGCTACAATGCATTGCAGTGTTCGAGTCTAGTCTGATTGGCTCTCTCCATACCCCCTGGCTGCTTTTCACACTCATGACCACAGCAGCTGCTCCATGAAGCTGCTTCGGCCCTGAATGCTTGACTCATTGTCTGAAGTAGCGATTGAGGTTGTGATGAGGACAAGTAGCAGCCATGACTGTCTTGGTCCAATAAACAGGTCTTGATAGTGAAGTTTCCCCAGCAAGAAAGTGAAGCTTTAATCTTGAGAGAATTTCAGTGCCAGGGCCTGAGGGGAAGCCGTTCTAACCGCACCAGCTCAGATGCATCTTAAATGGCAGCTGTCCAGACCTGACGCATGCAGGGTTTTTGAAATGAGACTAAACACACACACAGAGTCATCTCCTTAGGACAAATGTACAGTTGCCTTGTTGATGATACTTATTCCTTCTTTCCATATCTTTAGATATACTGCTTTTTTCCTTCTCATTCCTTTCCTCCTTCCCTTTTCCTCACACACAGCCACATTACGGGGGGTCTTTTATCTCTGACCATGACCCATGTCCGATCTGCCCACTCACACACACACACACACACACACACACACACACACACACACACACCACACACACACACACACACACACTCTGGTGGTCTCTGGTGGGCCAGTTAGAGGCTGCAGTGTTTATTATGTAGAGGATGTACAGAGTTGTAGACTCAAATCACTGACTTCCCTTGTTCCCACTGGGGGCCTGTACACCATTTTTACTGGCTGGCCCATGTTAGGGCAGATTGTGAGGGGGGCGGGGTCAGGGGTTGATAGCAGGCTAATTTGTCCAATATTGAGCTCTGCGTCTGTGCACTGATTTGGCACCCAGGAAGTACTGTCTGCCTTTCTCTGTCTTGGCTGTTTTATTCATTTTCGCACTGTGATTTTTCCCTGGATCTTGACATGCCACAAATGGTGTTCTTCTCTAACTAGAGCTCTCTGACAACACCGTTGTCAGTTGACATGCCACAAACGGTGTTGTTCTCTAACGAGAGCTCTCTTCTGAGTGTTGTCAGTTGACATGCCACGTTAACTAAACTCAATGTGTGTCAACAACATTGACTTGCATGTGAGAACAGTGCAAAAAAGGCAAAGAGACTCAAATCCTCACCCCTCTTCCAATTTCGAATATTTTCTCCTCTCAGCAAGTACTTGGGATGCCTGTCGATTGCTCGGGACAACCGCATTCAGGCACTTTTTAACCCTTCCTCCACACTGCAGAACCCCTGAAAACTTGGAGCTGTATTATCAGTGTGTGCTTGCTTGCTTATAAGGTGGCGTCACCTTTGGGACCTGTCTCTACAGATTCTTGATTGTACTGTTTTTAGCTCTCATCACTAAGGACACATATAAACTGTTTTACAAGAGGGAACATTCCTGAGAACATGACACCAGAAACAGGTCCTGCATTCCAACAGGAGTGGCTTATCTTTTGAGTTGATGATTGTCTATGTGGGAACTAATGCTATTAATATCTTCTCTCTGTCAGGCATAAACGGCATAAATCCAGCATAGAGCGAGTTCTCAGTAGCTCATAGGAATGACATTTAAAGACATGAAAACAGACCTGCAGTATGTGAGAGCCTTGACTTCTACACCTGCCCCTTAGATACTCAGTGAGTGATCTCACAGTCTCGATCGCCTTCATTGTTCTCTGCAGACACTAAGTAAACAAGTGACTACTTTATGATATCAAACTATATCCCAGACCTGCGGTAAGGATCTGCTTCCACTTCTTGTTAAAGACTTTTTGGTCTTGAGTACCCATGGCTGTGAAGCTAATACTGCTGTTTCATAATAACAGTTTTTGTTTACCCAGGCCACCAGTAATGCTCAACAGGGCCTGTTTTGTTTTTGATATGATGTCATATCCTGTAATCCTAAAATGCTTTGTCTATTTGCAGGCTGACGTATTTTCCTGACTCCATAAAACAATAGGGCCTGGCTAGAGTGGGCTGTTCAGATAAGATTGTATATTATGTTACTCTACAAGAATCACTGCCCAATTTGGACATGTCAAGATTGTTAAGGGGAACATATGATAAGAAAGCAGCAGAAACTACCCAGAAAGTTCCCTTAAAAGTAAAGCAATATGTAACATAACACTGTAATGCACACTAGTCTATGATGTCAATGAAGTGCTTCCATATGAACAACCTGAGCCTGAAGCCTGCGAGAGTAAAGCTCCCTGACCTGAAAATGCTCATGACATCAAAGTACTTGTACTTTATAGTTAAAAATAATGTGTACAGAAACGCAAACCTTCACACACACACACACACACACACACACACACACACACACACACACACACACACACACACACACAGTTTATACCAAAGATTAGTCCATGTGAGCGACATAGATTGAGTAATGTTTTCCTTAGGATGGGTTTTTATGGCAGCCTCTCCTATCCCTAGACCCAGCCAGAAGATCATATCTGTAATGGTAATGAGCTCCACCCTGCTATTTGCACTGATTAGGAGAGTATTTACCTACTACAAATAAAATAGTGATATAGGAGGTTGGGCTAAACCAAGTCTAAGATAAGAAAAATCTGTGCTTTCTTAAAGAAGTTTGTGTCTGTGGTGTTGGCATCAGTGAATTAATCACATCTTAATTTTTGACTCTCTCAGGAAATACCGGAGCAGGCCCTTGTTCCACATATGATATATATATGCTTGTCCAAAAGCATTGCCTGACTAACGGGTGAGAGCACCTGCTTCCATGTTTCATAACCACTGATGAGTATTTGAGACATTAGTGGTAGTTTCATTGCATGGACCACAAGATAAAGTGAGGTTTTGTTTGGCGTCTTTCCAGTTATCTTAGTGCCATCTGTGGTTAATGGGAGGTGTGGAGGATGCAGCTTTAGCCTTAAGCACACACCTTAGCTGAGGCTTCAAAAACAAACAATCTCTTTCTCTTTTATTTTCTCTCTCTTGGCGCACAAAAGCATGTCGTTGGGGCAGGAACCCTATACAAGTGAATTATGCTTAGCCTGTCTCACAAATCGGCCAAACTGATTAATCGGTCGACCTCTAACCCCAAGTGACTAAAATCACTGCACTATCTTTGCATTACCTTACAACACTGGCATGATCCTTCTCCAGCTACCGACATTGCCAATATGAAGCTGGACGAACTGGTCCCGGGGCTTGAATGCTGGTTTTCAGAGCAGGCTCTCACACTCTGCTGTGTTCTCTGCACCCTGCTGCGCAAGGTACTAGATTATGTTAGACTTATATGGCTTGCCTTGCACATAATCTAAACCCAGTTTTTGCTTTTAGTGAACTTGCTTTAAAAGTTGACGTACATAAATACAACAGACAATTTGCAAATGACTTATAGTCACTCGGTATTCATTTACAATAATGATTAATCTCAGAGGATATTTTGTACAATCTTAGTCGGTTCTCAGTAACTACGGAGGCAACTGTTTTCTAACCCACTAGCTATAGTGACTTCATATGGTGATAGTATGTCAAGCCATTTGTCTTCTAGCAGTCTACACAGTTCTCCCGCCTGCAAGTTGCTGAAAATCAATGAATGCGACTTCAAGTAGTACATTTGCAATTTAGGTTCTCCCAAGACAATACAACATACTCTCATCCTGTCAAAGTGTGGTGTAGCTAATGGTTACGTTGTCCTTTAGCTCCTAGTTAGTCATTTGTCCCCAGCACCAGACTGTCATGCAAAACTACATTTTTAGTACTCAACCAACCTAAGGCATGAATACTGTTGGGCAGGTATGTAATTTGTTATTATTTGTGATGGAGAAAAACATAGCACACAGTTCAGAAATGGTTGCTGTGTAGAGCTTTTCTTAATACAGGAAGGTAAATGACTAGAAGGA